AGCGTCCAAGGCCAAGGCCAAGGCCAAGCTCGGCGACGACCGGCCCGTCCGACCGAGAAAGGGAGCGGATGGCGTCGAGGCGTCGCCCCTCCGCGCGGCGCTCCACCACCGGAGATCCGACCTCTTCTCCGCCGGCGGCGGCCTCGGCGGCGTGCCCATGGATGCGAGCATGATCTCGCAGGCCGCCTCGGCGTCGGAGGACGACGACCCGGTGTCGCTGGGGCTTCGGCACCAGGGCGAAGACGTGCTGCTCGACTCGCAGTACGCGTCGGCGTCGCCGTCGCCGTCGTCGTCGGACGACGAGGACGAGGAGGAGGAGTACATCAACTCGGTGCTGCGCAAGAGCGGCGCCACCATGATTGGCGGCAGCATCACCAAGAGCGTCGAGCTGGAGCGCTACCTGCGCACCAAGGTCGAGCGCATGGGCCACCTCCTCACGCTGCCCGACGGCCAGGTGCACGACGAGGCGCCGGCTGCGGGTCCGGGTCCGGGTCCGGGTCCGGGTCAAGCAGACGGCGAGGCGGAGGACGTGGCGGAGGCCATGGGGGGCGAGGCTGAGCTGGTGTCGCAGCCAAACTCGGAAGACGAGGCAGCATAGAGACCGAGGCCGTGCTACGGCCGCGGGCCGCCTGTGTCGAGGAGCCGGCCCAGGTGCAGGCGAGAGCAGGCAAGTTTAGGGACTAGAAGGCGAGGGCCCGCAGCGCTTTGTCGGTATCCAGCCACACGCTTGAATCTCGATGGCGCAGCCCGATGCAGATACGCAACCCGCTCGACCGTCGTAGACCCGTCGTGCCCGTCGTGCATGCGAAAGCGAGCGGGCGAGCGAGCGTCGTTCCGACAGCGAAGGTGACGAAGCATCGCCGACGCACGGGATCCGAGCGCCGTCGAGGGTAGAATCGACGACGACGTTTTCCGGGTCACGTACGTCTGTCTGTCTGTCTGTCTGCCTGTCTGCCTGTCTGCCTGTCTGCCTGTCTGCCTGTCTGCCTGTCTGCCTGTGTGTGTGTGTGTCAGAGAGAGAGGGATGGAGGGAACGGGCGCACGGTCGACTTTCGAAAAGGCGGGAGGGGGGCAGGCCGAGAAGATGAGAGCGATGGAGAAGAAAAAGAAACGCAGAGATGATAACTGGACAGGAAGGGGGGGAGAGGAGGGACGGACGGACGGTCGGTCGGCAGCTGCCGTTGGGCCTTCTTTTGTGCTGTCTGGTGAATCTCCGGATGTCGATGTCCATGGCGTGGGACGAGATGGCGAGTCGAGTCGAGCGGAGCGATGTGCTTTCTATGCCCGGCCAACGGCGAGATTGACCGACGTCGATGGGCGACCAACCCAGGAACGACGACGGCTGGCCCGGCCGGCCGGCTCAGAAGGATTGCTGCGTGACGCGCGCCGGCGGAGACTGGTGCTGCATCATGCTGCGTCGCTTGTTCTTGGCCATCTCCTTTTTCAAGGCGGCACCGTCCAACGGCTGCAGCGGCGGCGGCGGCGGCGGCAAACAAAGACGAGAAAACAGGGTCGGCGTCAGCGATGGCCTCGCGTCTCGGGCGACGACGGCGCGTGCGCCGCGCGGGGTGCGGCGCTCTGCTCACCTTGAGAAGCTCAAAGGCGCACAACAGGTCTTCGGATACGCTCATGACGGCGCCAAAGTTGTCAAACTCTGCAGGGACAGGCGAGGTGCGGAGCGGATCAAAGGGGCCGGGAGGAGGGGCGGTTTTGCGTCAGTCGATCGGCGCCGTGTCAGCCACGGGAGACGGGCCCTCGACCCCTCTGCTCACCTCCGCAGTAGTTTGGCGCGCTAAAGATGGTGACGAGCGTCCGCTCGTTCCAGAACTCGTACCCGTCCTCGACGACCATGTGAGCGCGGCAGATGAGGTCAAAGTCGTACTGCGCCAGGAACTGCTGTATGACGGCCTTGCCAAAGCAGTAGCTGACGCCGCGCTCGTTGTCCTCCCAGTCTAGCGCCGTGTCGGACGGGTCGGACCACAGCAGGTCGTTGAGCAGGCCGTAGTCGGGCACGTCGGTGGGCCGCTCGATGCGCCGGATGTCGTCCATGTTGGACAGCGACGGCGACAGGCCGCCGTGCACGCAAAAGATCTTGGACGCCACCACGGCCGCGATCGGCAGCGTGTTGAAGACGTCGATAAACGTCTTCCAGATCTTGATGTTGACCCGCCGCTTGCACTCGTCGTAGAAGCCGTAGACTGCGGACGGCGGCGTGCGGATAGGCGAGGGGAGGGGAGGGGTCCGAGTCAGAGAAATCATGGGGTCAGCAAGCTGGCTGGGAAGCGAGGGCACGCCTCGGAAAGAGACTGGCTCTGGTCGTGGGCGCGTCCGACCCACGGGCCACGGCCACCTTGACCGCCGGCTCACCTCTCGTGACGTTGGCGCACTCGTGGTTGCCTCGCAGCAGGAAAAAGTTTTCCGGGTACTTGATCTTGTAGCACAGGAGCAGCAGGATCGTCTCGAGGCTCTGCTTGCCGCGGTCGACGTAGTCGCCGAGGAAGAGGTAGTTGGCGCTGGGCGGGAAGCCGCACATCTCAAACAGCCGCAGCAGGTCGTGGAACTGGCCGTGGGTGTCGCCGACAATCTTGACGGGCGGGCTGAGCTCGATCAGCGTCGGCTGGCTGAGGAAGACCTCGCGCGCCGCCTGGCACACGGCCGTGATCTCGGCATTCTTGAGCGCCGGCTTGGGAATCTTGCCAGAGTAGCCGGCCTCGAGCAGCCGCGAAATCATGTCGTCAATGTCAAAGGTCCGCACCTGGTCGCCGCCCGCCTGCGACGAGCCGCCGGCGTTGGACCTGCCGCCGCCGCCCGTCGAGCTGGCCGACGCCGACATGCTCCCGCCCATCGGGTTGGCCAGGATGGTCTGGGTGGTGGGGATGCCCGGCGGCGCCTGCGACGACGAGGCCGCCGACGACGACGTGGGCCGCTCGGGCACCGCGCCCGACGCTGCGATGCTGTCGCTGGCCGAGTCGTCGCGGCGCATCGACCTCGAGGCGAGCG